AATACTCACAGTTTGTTTGGCATGTTCCCATTTCTTCCCACTTCTCATGTATTGGTTGGGCATGATCTACTCTAACAATTCCATGGTTATTCCTTATATGAACATTCAGGGGAATACCTGTTCCAGGACTCTATTTCTGCACATTGGGCCTGCTAATTTATTCTCATCAAGTATGTCTCATAGTTTGTCATGTGCCAGGAGCTCTAAACCTGATGGCAGATTGCCTTGTTTGGCTGGACCGGATTTTACTCATGGAGTGGTCTCTCCACTCAGGTTTTTTGGTGGATTTACTCTCATTTGGGCATGCCTCTCATTGATGCCTTTGCCATTCCTTTTAACACCAAACTTCCACTCTTCTAGTCTGCAGTTCCTCAATTTTTGGTTTTGGTGGTTGATGCTCTCAACAAGGACTGGTATCGCCTTTTTTTTGCCTCTTTGTCTCCTCCCTCATATCATTGCAACACTCTTTATTTGGCAATATTGGTAGCACCTCTTTGGTCTACATAACCCTGTTTCCTCTGTTTTGTCAGTTGCCATCCAGGACTCCTCTATCCTATGCCACATTCTCCCTCTCCTCTGCTCCAACTTTGCATGTCTCTGTTTTCACCAAGAGGTGTTGTCCTTTCATCTTCCTGTGTCCTCTCCACTTTGTTCTGATCATTCCTTCTTCACTCCCACCCACCCCATCTGACTCCCATGCATGACTGGGACCATAATGTGGTTTTACATGCTCCTACACATGCCCCATTTGAGATGTTGACTTCTTGTTCTTTATACCATCTTTTCCTGAAGACGTACTTTCTTCTTCTCGTCTGTGATTGCCATCATTCAGATGCATATGCTTTTGATGCTTCTTGCACTCTCTTTCTCTGTACTTATTTACTCCTCCATCTGGACTGAACTTCTACCCAAAATGTCAGCTGCTTGGGAAGGTGATTGTTCTTTCTCTCCTATCTCCCTCCCTCCCCTCTATCTCTCACTTCTGTGTTCATTTGAACCTGAATCATTATCTGTGTCTGTTTTGGACTGTATGGCATTATTTCATGCAAACATCTTTTCAGGGTTCCCGCCATTGTTTGTTTCTGCCTTGGGACCCCTCTTCATCCAGAAACCTCTTTCCTTCTACCCTTACTGGATAGGTCTGTCACTCCTCTAGTTGGTGTATTTTCTCCTGGATATTGAAGCAGACTTTTTCATATTTCATTGCAACAAATTCATCATCTCTCCCACTCTCTTGCATCTCATTTTTGCTGACCCTTGGATAAGATCCTTCAGGTTGGCATGTGGTTGAATCCGCACACATTCATTTCCTATCACATTTATCATCTGGATGTTTGTCATCCTGTAGAATTTTGACTCCTTCTAGTTACTGTTCTTTAGTCTACACACCCTTTTTGAAAGGGTAAGTACATTTTCTTTTTCATCATCCTTTTCCCCTATATATAGGATTCCACCATTTCTTAAATTCTGCATCAATCAGAGGTAACAGAAAGTGCTCAACCCATTTACCTTGTCTCTACCTTGCCCGGTATTGAGATGGGATATTCTGCAAGACCACTAGAGGTATCCTCATGGTATGAAATTTACTGAATTGCATGATCCAGACCATACTAATATATGGACTACCATGGAAAAAGCCAGCATCAAGGAACTGACAACCCACTTCTTTGGCTTGCAATTGCCAGCTTTTCAAAGTAGGGTTTCATAATTACTCATTGCACTGTTTCTTGTAAAATACCTTTCTGGCAGGTGTCCAATGGGGTTCTGGGCACTTCCCCAGTCTCCCCAATGTGAATTCTCCTTCCACTTCTTTAAGTAGTGCACAGGAGACCCTAGCTGCTGGGATGGTGGACCTTGAAGAGTTCCTCACTGATTGTGTACAGCACAATATGGTTGGAAGCAGGGTAATGGTGGTGGTAACACTGACTGTGTAGTGTTGGTTATCCCTCAAACAGCTAGTATGCCCTCCTCTTCCAGCAGGATGAGTTTGTTGCTCCATCACTGTCTGTCCAGTTGAGTCGAGATGAGACACACACACACACACATTACAGTTTGATCATGCCTAACTACGTTATACTTCTTAGCCTATTGACCACTTGTGTGCAGGTGCTCTATTTGTCATGCAAAATATTTCACCTATCCTTTACTTCTGGGTGAAAAATATACCCTTGTTGAGATAAGATGCAGTCTTTCACTGTTGTTTCCCCATGGAGCCCCTGCCATCTGGTGTCACATTCTATGGGCTTTCCCTCTGAACACTTTCTGAAGGGAGCTCATCTAGGCTTAATGTTTGCACTGGCCTCTACACTATTTTAGTGTGGGATTCTAGGTTTTCTGTGTGAGGAGGTGAAGTAGGAGCTTGAAATAAGTGAAGCCTTGTTTAGGTATATTTTGATACAGAGGAAGATCAGAAAGTAAGATGTAGGCTGTACTCTGCAGAACTTAGTCACAGGGGCAATATGGAAATAGTGCTGTTATGCAAATATTTGCTAATAGTGCTACATATTATTTCTTTAGTGTGATTAATATTAATCTGTCTAATCAAAACAGGCCTCTTATTGTACCTCAGATTCCATTATTTTTTGTTACTTCACTATTTTTTATATATTTATAGAATTTACAAAAATATGTGGTATTTTATATAAAAGGCTATGTGTACAAGAAAGTAATAGCACTTTCTTAAATTAAAAAAAAATTGTTATAATAGTGTTTAAATGTTTAATACACTAAATGGAATCTAGCACTTCTAGTTTTTGGTAGTGTTGGGGCCTCAGTTATTTATGTATAACTATATAGCTACTCAAGCATTTTGTAACCAATTAAAGGAAATTAATAATAATAATAACTCAATAAAATTAGTGACAGTGGCAGATAACTTTAGCAGTTTTACTGTAGCAAAGGGTGAGCAAGTTTAGTGGCAAAGGGAATTCGAACCATAGACCTTCAGACCTCAAGTCCTCCCCTATTATGTAGCTTTGTGCTCAACAACAAACAAACGTTGTACATTTGCTGTTATGTTAAACTTATATTAAAGTTTTTCTTCATTACCCATTCAAGCCGTCTCCAGCCATTATTAAACAAAGGCAGTATTTCAATTACTCAGATAGTTGAAATAATCAGAAACTAATTTTGATGAGTTATTTTCATGAAAGTTGATGTAAGCATAATTTCAGTTAATTGATTGTTGGAATAATCTGAAACACTAATAATTTTGATTATTTTTGTGACATTAATTGATTAAACCTCTCACTACAGGCTCGAGCAATTTGACTTACATAATACATGAGCTACTCGTAAATGCACCTCATGAAAATTTTTCTTATTACAATTATTTTTTATTTTACGTAATCTAACCTAAAAAGATTCTAATTTTTTACATTTGATTTACTTTTATAATAATAAATGAAGAATACATGTGAAAAACAAGAAATAAAGAAATATAGTACTTATTTGGGTCTTTTTTTGTTGTTGTTGACTGTCAATGAAACTTAACCTTACTTTTTTATATTAATGGTACTACTGCAATAAATAAATTTTTATTTAATTAAATAATGCACCAGAGTACACAGAATAATAACACTGAGAAAGCAGACAATACCCTATAACTGTCACAATTTTTCTAACTATGCAACAGGAGCCATTAAAAATTCAGATAAGCTTCTCAATGTGTTTCTCATGTGAATAAAGTTTAAACTGGAAGCAAACTATACAATTCTCTCTATAGAATATAACTTAATAAATCATTTGATAGACAAAAACTTTGGCTCTCTATTGGGTATAAATAATGTAGTATTAAATGTCAGAGAGAACTATTGGTAATTTCTGATAGAGAGGATGTAATAGGTGGGCATGGCAAATGAGTTCTGATTTTCTATTTCATTGCTCTGTAGCCAAATAAGATTGAAGACTATGAACATTATGCTTCACCTGAGTGGTGACAACATTATACGAGTAACTTACATTAAATATCATACTTTTCTTGGAAGGATGGTAGATAAATTGGAGAAGAGGGGATATCTAGAGAGCAAATGCCACAATTCTCATACTAAGGAAAATTCAGGATTTTTTTAAAATATTGTCTTATGAAATTAAGAACTTAAAACTTGTATTATAATTTGAAATATTAGCTATATTTGTATTCCATGACAAGCTAGTAGTTTAATTAAATTTTTAATGTAACTCGGTAAAATCTTGTCATATGAGCCGAAAAGGATGTGAGGGATTTAACCATAATTTTGATTTATCAGTTAGTTTAGAATACACTAATCAATGTAGTGACAACTCAGAGGTAATTGAGTATACTGAGTTAACCAATTAAATCAACCAGCCCCACTAATAATTTGTACTTATTATTGACATGCTCAGTCTCGATGTTAAAGACTTATTTCTGCATATGCAGTAATTTTATTTGTAAAAGGCTCATATTTTGTTTGAATTAAACTGTCTTGGCTTTTGTTCAGAGCATCTAATGTCTTCTGTATTCCTTTTCTTAATAAAGCCACAAGATATGTCAGCTGTACAAGTGGACAAATGGTAAAATATCATTAAAATTATATATATATATATTTGTGTTTTTTTTTGTGAAAGAAGTACAGTTGAAAAACCTACCTAGACCCAATGTGCTTTCAACTTTTCATTGTTTTGTGAACCTAATGTATTTGACTTTTATATTTTATTTTGTGTAGTTTGTTTTCACACTTTCTTTTATGGTTGGTTTGAAGTTTTGCTTATGTTAAGCTTGTTATGAATTTAGAGTAAACTGGAATGGACAGCAACTGCCTGTTGTTAAAAACAAAAGTGTAGAGGACGTTATTTCTAAAGTTATCTGTCTTTCATCTTCAAATCCTGAAGATGGAAGACTTGAAATAATGAAACACCCTTATCTAGATTTGTTTTTTACAACAGGCAGTTGCCATCCATTCCAGTTTACTCATCATGAATACTCTGCCTAAACAATATATCAAAGAAGTTATTAATTTATTTTATTAAATATATTTTAGGTTCTCTCTGACCCAGATAAGAGGAAAACATATGATAAATTTGGGGAAGAAGGACTGAAAAATGATGCATTTGGTGGAAGTGACCCTTTTGCAAGGTAATTGTTTGCAGTCTTGTATCTTTCACTTTATTCAACTCTCTTGTAACAAGGCTGGTCAATTTGACTAAACTTGTAAGTATTTTGTACTTGTTATAGTTTCCATACTATAACTTGTAATACGCCTTTTGTATCTTCATAAAATTCGGCAAACTTTTAGTGAACATTACATGTCTTTTATACACAAGAAATAAGCTATTTTAATAAAGTATTTCTACTAAGTATTTGTCCATGAATATATAGTATTTCTATATACTAGTCTGAATGCTAAGTGATTTCCATGTCAAGATTGAAAA